CAATTTTTCTTTGATTATTTTCTTAAAGGAATTTACTGATCCAATGCTTTTATGATAATTTCCAGATTATTCCATAGTCTTAAACCTTTTACTGAAGTGCATCTGTCCTTCAAATTTGTTCTGATTTTTGGTTTAACAAACATTKGTAATCCCTTCAAATTATAGCAGCTTTCCCTCTTAACAAAATGTGATTGAATGTTTGATGGCAACAGATTTCTATGAGCCTGATACATAACCTGCATAATGTTACAATCAACCAACTCATGAAATTTTAACCATTTTGATGGTGAAACAATATAAAGAATAACAAAAATCATAGAATAAAATCTGTATATAAATGTGTGGAAAAGTCTTATTTTTTCAGCTACTGGTAGGCCTGCACTGATGTTAATAGTGACAGTATGAACTATTTGGAAGCGTGAAAGTACTGACATTTTATATAAGTTAAACCATTATTTTTGCATATATTTCTTATATCTAAAAGAAGTAACAGTGTGTGCTTGCAGACAATTGTTCAGCTGCAACATTCAAACAGACAAAGACTGTGACTCTGCTTATCTGCTTAGAATGTAAAGTTCTGCTGGAAAATATTTGAACTTTGTCTTTAACACAAAAGCCACATGATTTGAAGAGACTGTGGCATGCATCAGACCCCCAAACTTCTATTTGACAGGCCCAGTCAACAAGATATGAGAAATAATGGCATATGTAGAAAACAAGCCAAATTTACAAAAACCCTGCAGTGCAAACTTTTTTTCCTGATGACTGGGTCAGAAACACTCCAGGAGTCTCTGCTCCAATTATTGAACAACACATATGACAATTGTGCAAGTTTGCATTCTGCTATTAGGTCAGTACTGCTCTGACTTTGGTACAAAAATATCTAAAAGATAAGGCAGAATTTCAACCTTAAAACCAAACAAATAAAAACACAATTGAGAATATAGGGGAAAAAAACATAAGCTGAGAGGAATGTATCTTTCTTTAACGTGAAACAGCTCAAACATTCATGAACATTTTCAAGTAAAACACATTGGGGTATTAGAGTAACAGTTATCAATTGTGTTAGTTCTTTCAGCAGAACAAGAAGAAAAACCATTAAAAATCTTTAAAGCATAATTTGGATTGTTTTGTTTGCTTAAAACAGTTTATGGTTGTACAGAACTGTCAGAGATTGATGGGGATTTATATATTTATGTTAAACGTGTGTTTCCAAATGCTGTACGATGAATCCTATGAAACCAAACGAAGAAACAAACAAAGAAAAGAAAATGCACATTATTTGTCACTGGAGCTAGGGAAGTATGAACAATTCCAATGGAATGTTTGGTTAATGTTCTTGCTGATTAGTCATGATTCATTTATTTAGTTTACATTTATAT